TTTAGATACTTATTTGTGTTTTGGCCTATTTCAGGTTAATAAAGTTCAAACAGGCTAACAAGAGCCATTTAGCTCAATTTTGGAGCTACGGAGCAAAGTTGGAAAGAAGCAAAGAAAAAATGCACCAGGGGAACTTCGATCGATCGAAAAGGAATCCCGATCGATCGAAGAAGATTACAATTGATCGAAATGAGGCAGTGCCAGCTCAGCAAAGTGGATAAGGCCTGGAAGATATTTTTGAGCCACGTCAGCTTCGATCGATTGAAGCTAAGTGTTTGATCGATCAAAAATCTTTGATCGATCAAAATGTCTGCTGGTAGTGAGCTGTCTAATTCCCGAGCACGCCGATTTCTACCTAACTTGTGTAGTGGCGAATTTCCTCCAATCAGAGGCTGTAATTCTGACTTGGTCCTTACTCAAAGGAGTGTGTAATTAATTTATTGAACATTATTGTATCATTCAAGAGAGATAGAGATAGGCATTAGAAAATAGAAAAAAATAATTTATCCTCTCTAGAACTAGGGTTTTGGGAAGAAAGTAAGGATGAAGATGATGATGCCAACCTCCAAGCTAGCCCTTGAGGGTTCTATGTCCACTACAATGAGTGGCTAAATCCTTCTCTTGGGGTTAGAGATAGCCCCTAGGCTTGCTTCTCAAACCTATCTTTTATGTATTTTTGGGGATTTTAATTATAATAGATGTTTTGACCTTGCATAAATATAGATCTTGTGATTGCTACTTGATTTGTATGGATTAATGCTTTCAATTGATCATTTGGCTCTAGTCATATGTCTATGCATGCTAAAATCGATGTTCATGTTTTTATCTCTAGACTTAATGAATTTGATGCATGTCTATGTGGGTTGATGATGTTAATCTAGTGATGGTCAATACATAGTGCTTAATGGAAAACTCTTATGCTTTATTTGATGGTTCACACTTGTTTCTTGATGGATTGTATCACATCTCTAGTTTAACTAGTTTACTTTCATATCTCTAGCCTAGTTTTAGTGTAATTGCTATCTACAATCACATTTTCTAGGCTTAGCTATTTTATTTTGTGTTTCATACTATTCTTATAGTCCTTCCAAGACCTGGGCAATTTTTCAATTAGGCATCCAGAAATAAATAACTCAGGTAAGTCAATATCTTCATTTTTTAGTTCACTGACTAGTTCGTGGTAGTCATGGATTTGAGATGAAACATCTTTGTCCTCAGTCATTACAAAACTTAGGAAATTGTCTATGGCATATTTTTAGGTTCCAGCATCTTCAACAACATATTTTTTTATTTAGGTTTACCCAAATTTCACATGTTGTTTTATAAGAATAATAAATATCAAAAAGTTCATTAGACATGGTACTCAATAAAGTATGCCTGCAAATTTTACTTCTTTTTTATCAGACCCGCAACAGGTTTGGTTTTGGTTAAAAATTCAGCAACATTAATTATGTCCAAAGCAGAATAAACTCGATCTTTCTCCCCAACGTTTATAGAAATACCCATTGAAAGAGTCGATCTTAGAAGTGTTTGGGATAAGTGTGGTGGTGGTTAACACAGTACTCATTTTTAATATTTACTCTTAGGATTGTATGAAATAAAGGGATGAAAAATCAAGAAAAATATAGAGTACTGCTATGTTGGGAAATAATAGAGTATGAAATAAAAATATACGAAGACTTAGCTGAGGCGTGTGAATACATTTCCCTTAAGAGTAAATCCACCCCTCTGAGATGATATCTCGGTGTAGCAGGTTACGGCATTCCACTCTCCACGATGCAACAACAAAAAATCCACCGCAAACGTGCATTACACCACTCTCCACGATACAACAACAAAAAATCCACCTCAAACGTACACTCGTAATGCAGTGGAAGTTGAACAGCTTTAATATGGTCCTTTGGTCAGTGGGATTGCAGAAAATGAATAATGTAGCGAATGTGTATTTGGCAAAACAATGACAACCAAATAATATAAAGCCACTAAGAAGGTTTGTAGTGTAGAAACCTTGAGACTTCTAGACGTATTTATAACCAAATAGTATAACGGTTATATACACGTTTCACGATATAATAGCACAATATCAACAATGGCAGAATATTACAATGACACATTAATGTAACATTGCAGATATTAGGGTAAGTTAATATATGTAATGGCATAATAATAAGTTGACATGGATATAAGAACGTTAAAAAATATATACATGGATATACAACACTTACCACATTGAATGATCCACAAATTTAGTTTTTCGTTTTTGGTGCGTGTATTGATATTTAAAATTCAATAAAGTAGTACCCGCTTAATTAAAAATGTGAAGCGCCCTCCCAGCACATGAGCGATCCTCGTATTCCTCACTAATACTAGTGGTGGATGTTTCTTCTCTTATGAATATTTGAATAACAAATTTTTTTTATGCCTCTCAAGCAACTCTCTCTCTCTCTCTCTCTCTCTCTCTCTCTATATATATATATATATATATATAGAATGGATATCTCATGCAAATATTGAGTGAATACCATGCTATTTTCAGCTAATCCCTACGAAGAACAATTCTTGTTTCTTCTCGGGGATAGATGGCATTAATGGGTTAGTTTTCATGTTCGCATAATATGTTAGCGAATTTTTTCATGCAATCCATTTCGCTAGTACTAATTTTAGAGGACAATGATAGTATGTGGAGTGCATGAGTTGATACTTTCTCCTTACCTGTGGGTATTGGCGGTAGTAACAGTTAGAGATGGCAACGGGACGGGGTTAGAGCGGATTTTCTTAAATTCCGCCCCTTTTAATTTTTGTTAAGTCCATGCCCGGCTCGAGATCTGCGACGGGTTTGATTTTCATGTCCAGCCCCGTTTCGTTGGGAAATATGTGCCCCCATGCCCGCCCCACTAACAAATTTTTTTCTTTCACTTTTTGGAACTTAAGATCTTGCTATTTAAATGTGAAAAGCCTGGGAATGGCATAACATAAATGAAATTATGTATCCCAACAAAAATAAAAAAAAATAACATACACGTAACATAATTTAAAGAACATAATAAACAAAAATAAAAGTTTAATACAACCAAATCACAAGAAGTTCTAAGCTCCAACTTCCACCATAACCAAAACAAAAACAAAAACAAATTTAATATCAAGTTTACATCCCAAATTAGGATTGTAAGAGATGGGTAACTAGGCAAGCCGCTAAAATAAGTTATTAATATATATATATATTAAATATAGTTTTATGCTTAGCAGGGCGGGGTGGGGCCCCTAAGATATGTATACTAAACCCTTACCTGTCCCGTGACTTGCGACGGGTACAAAATTTATATCCATGCTCGCCCCAACGATATAAAAAGTCTTCTCATATTCGTTATTAATGAGGCGGGACGGGATCGGTAAAAATTGACATCCTAGTAACAGCTTCAACATATAACCAAGAGTTTGCAAGTGATATTCCGCATGTCCGAAAGAAGACAGGGTAACTACGTGGATTTCTTGCTGCCCATAAACTTATCAAATATAATCCTAAAAAATTATCTATAAACTCTTGAATAGAATTAGAGAATATATGGACACACCTCAAATATATAATTAGATTCTTCATCACTTTCTCATATTGGCCATATATATAATAGTATAGTTGTAAGGGCTGGTGGTCAAATAAATATAGGATTTAACACACTAATAAATTAGATAATAATTTATAATAAATATATTAATTAAAATAATATAATATTCACAATAAAATCATATTAATTATAACACAATTATATTTTTATTAAAATATTTCCAACAGTTACAGGTTCTTAGAAGAAGTTGGTTGAAAACCTAGGTGATTACCATGAATGGTACTAATAAGGAAGTGGAATAGAATAGATAGATAATAAGACTTATATAGGAAAATCTGTCAATCCATTCTCTCTCTCTCTCTCTATATATATATATATTCTTTTGACTTTTTTTAGAATTATTTTGTTCAATTCATATTCAAAATGCTTAATCCAATGCAAATGTTGATCACGATGATATATATACATATATAGACATATATATATTTATATATATATATATTACATTTAAAATTATAAATATATAAAAATTAATTCCGAATTCGAGTTGGGGGCTTGCCCATACCTCAACCCAACATGTGATCGTCCAAAATTCATGAAAATTTGGGTTGGGCTTGGACTAGCCTACTCAAATTGATTTGATACCAAAAAATGAGCGCGATGAGAAATTGATAAGTACAAAGAAATTTTCACAATAATTTCTTATTATTGTATAACCTTAAAAATATTAAAGTGAAATTTAAAAAAAGAGAGTTGAAATTATAGATTGTATCTTTATTGTCGTTGACTCGTTGTCAATTACAAGAGAGAAATTAAAGAGAAAAAACAGTACACTAAACTGCCTTGAACTATTCCCAAATATTTTGTGTCCAATAATCGCTAAATTATGTCCCTAGATTGGAATTTTTCTGGTGATTTTACTTTTTTGGTTCCGATTCTCTAATTTTTAAAATCCCAACTAGACCATAGTCCATTCTCTCACAAAACTAAACCAAACTATACGGTCCAATTCAGCCCAGTCTAATTTATCAATTTGTTTTATTTTATTTTTGTTACATATATTAGACATTTTTCTTTGAAAGCATTTTTTTCATGTTCTAACTAAATTTCAAAATATCTTTCTTAAACTTTTAACTTGATTGGGTTCATTAGAGACAATAAACCATCGTGTTAACATAGATTTTACTCAAGTCCATGCCTCCAACTTGTCAAAAAGAAGAAGAAAAAAAACAAAAAATGGAGGAGAAATTATGGGTCATGGTGAATCAAATTAATTGTATCTACTTGGTATAAACATCAATATATGTGTCACAAAAGCAAGAGTACTCTTCATCGACAAGATCATATTAAACTGAAAATAAATAAGTCAATGCTACTTTTCTTTTCTTTAACATTAGCTCTGCCTGCGATACTGAAGCCACTAACTCTGCTAGAAACTCAGCAACCACCACCCCCGCCGCCGCCGCCGCCGCCGCCACAACCGCCGCCGCCGCCACAACCGCCACCACAACCGCCACCACCTCCGCCACCGCAACCAGAGCCACCGCCACCAGCACCTACTCCTGCTCCAGCTCCAGCACCAGCTCCGGCACCAGCACCCCAAAAAATAGGACCTCCGCCTCCACCGCCACCCCAAGAGCTACTACTGCTGCTTTTCTTCTTAGGTTTGTCCACGCTTTTCTTCTTAGGTTTGTCATCATTGTCATGACCACACGCAAATATGAGCACTGACATGACTGCGAGGAACATAACAATCGAGTAGAACAAGAACGTGAATCTAGAGCTACCCAACATGATGCCCCCTTCGTCTCGATTTCCACCCGTGACTAAATACCTCGCCATAACTGAAGAAGAAGCAGAAACTATAAACCCTCACAAAAGAACAATTTTGAATCCACAAAGAGAACTCTAAAATATTATCAATGAATGAATAATTGTGCTCTTACTGCATGTATTTATATTAATAAATAACTCCAAACCATAGTCCAATTTTACATAATAAATTCTTAGTAATTAAATTAGGATAACTATCAAATTTAATATTGAAGATCTAGACTTAAAAGACGTTATATATTTTGGAGTTCTAAACGAATTTGTTCAGTATATATATTTAGAATGCAAAGAGGATATATTGAAAATATATTGGTCGTTCAGTATATGTATTTAGAATGCAAAGAGGATATATTGAAGATTTATATAGGAAAATCTGTCAATCCATTCTATATATATATATATATTTGAAGCCCTTCAGATTTTTTTTGAATTATTTTGTTCAATTCATATTCAAAATGCTTAATTCGATGCGAATGAATTCAATTATTTATGAACAAATTCCTAATTATTAATCAGATTATTTTAGGAATAAATTCGTAATTATTATATATAAATATATATATTTAAAAAAATATCCAAGATCCTTTTAAATTTGTACTTTTGCGCTTAGGTCTCATAAATTCCCCGAAAAAGAAAATATATCCAGAGAGATGTAGCTAATTTTTTTAAAATATATATATATATCTATATAAGGTAGAAAATAAGATTAGAAAGAGTACAAAAATTTGAATGCAGTGCAATGTAATATTAATAGCATGTTTTCATCATGCTAGTAACAGTTTGACTTTAGCGATTGGAATTGGAATGTCTCATCTGAGGTGCACGACGGACCAGAATCCTCTCCTGTTGAACAATATAATCTGTTCCTTCCTGTTCGCACTGTTCAGGAACTGTAGCAGTGGTAAAAAGGGCCAAACAGGACTTTGGGTAAAAAAAGGTATATACACACACAGATACATATACAAACAACAATACACACAGAGACAAAATTGTACATACACAGAGATACGATATTGCAGAAATTGAAACTCATGTTTAAGCGGCAAATTGGAAATTCTGGAACAGAATTAGCACCTCTTCTTCTAAGCTTCTTTCTTGTTTCTTCTTCTTCTCTCCCAATTTTTCTTCCTTCTTTCCAAATTTACAATTTCCGTGCCTCTTCTTCTAAGCTTCTTTCTTCTTCTTCTCTCCCAAATTTTCTTCCTTCTTTCCAAATTTACAATTTATTTCCAAAGGTTTGGTTTGGTTGAACGTCGCAGAAGAGGAATCTATAGTGACGAATCGCCTCGTCTAAATATGTTATTTTATTTCTTGTTTTTCTCTCCTGATTTGTCTTTCTTGTTTCCAAATTTACAATTTTTTTCAAAGGTTTGATTCAAGGGCGGAGAAGAGGAAGCTACAGTGACGAAGGTATAGCGCTTGTTCTTAATCTTATTTCTTCTTCTCTCCCAGAATATAAAAAGAAATAAATTGGTCTTTCCTACATTGTCCCGGCTTTCCTTAATTTTGTTCTTTCCAAAATTACAATTTCTTTGGGAAGGTTTGATTGAACGGTGTAGTGTCGTGTGGTTGATTTATGGCCAAGGAAGACGTAGCTACAGTTTACTGGTTTTGTAAGTGAATTTGTGAATCGTATGGCATTGTGTTTCATTAGTTTTGTTTGGTTATACTTGAAGTGTTATTAAATTGTGAAAAATTGAAACAGAAATTGTGAAAATTATATTATGAAATTGTGAAAAAGTTGTTATATTCTGTATTATATGTTATGTTTTAAACTTCCAATTAAAGATGTTAGAATAAAATTTCTATTGTATTCCTGTAATGTAGTGTTTCATTCGTGATAAGTAGTACAATATATTTGGGATATTCTGTATAATAAGAAATGGAGGTTTTACACTTCCAATTGAATATGTTGGAATAAATTTTCCATTGTATGACATGTAAGTTTCCATTGAGAGTTATGATTGTTCATTATAAATAACTTAACATAGTTGTAATGTTTTTCAAAATAAGCCAAAGACCTTCCCATCATTTCCCACAAACTAATGCTCCCACATTTCATCATTGTCAGTTACACAAGTGGAAAAAGTAAGGAAACAAATAAACAATGAAGTAAAAAAAAAAACCTATTGAGTAAATTTGATATATGAAAGAGTGAAGGAGAACTAATGCAGATTCTTTTCACCACAATGTTCTGTTGTTGTTGGTGGTAACAGTGATTTGGATTTCAAAGCGCCCATCTTCTCATGTGTATTGACATTGATTGTTGGCTTGTTCATGTCCTTTTGACGCTTTATTTCTATGTCCGCCTGTTTCTACATGTTTGTGAAGAAGTGAGCAGTGGGTTAGGAATTAAAGTCACTGTGTTTGTGTGTGTATGTGTGTGTGTGTGTGTGTGTGTGTGTGTGAGAGAGAGAGAGAGAGAGAGAGAGAGAGAGAGAGAAAGACAATGGGTTTTCTGGGACTTGAAGTTGCAAAGAAGGCAATGTGGCTTCTCCAAAGGTCATGGGTTTTAATCCTTGTGAGACATGGGGGCACTATGCTTGCTACTCTAATGGATTTGTCTACGTCTTTTGGGTATGTATCTTTCTTTAAAATAAGAGAAATGAACTTGTTAGTTTATTTTTTTGCTTCTCATTATTAATTAATAATAATGCTATTTGGAGTGCATTTTCTTTGATCATGATGTTTGGATTCCTTCTCTTATTTAACTTAATTAACTCTGTTACTATCTGTGTGGTAGCTTTCATGATGTTCTCTTGTTATTCTTATTATTAGTATTATTATTATTAATTTTTATCTATTTAGTTTTCAGTTTTGGGTAAAAATTGATGCTCTTTTTGTTCTAGTTTGTTGGTATAGTTATCCTTGGCTAATAACATGTTAACTTCCTACAAATGTTATAGTTTTTTCCCGTTCTTGCTCTAATAATTGATTCTTGTTGGTTTGTCTTTGTTTTAATTTGGCAAATTAGTTGGGATGTTGTTTGGTTGCATGAGTAGCTGCATCACACTACTACTCTTGGTTTGTTGACATGAAAATGTTTTTTCAATTCTTATTGTTGTTTCTTCTTAGACCCCTAAGTTGACATGGTTGTAATGTTTCTTAAAATAAGCCGAAAAAAGTTTGCAAGTCCATGTTTGATTTGGAAAAAGTTAAATGAATACTTGAACATAGTTGTAATTAGTTTGAAAATAGGAGGCCCAAAAAGGTTGGAAGTGCATGTTTGAGATGGAAAAAGTGAAATAAATCATTTATTTTGTTAGTCGTAGCAAAATTATGATGAGTGCAGTTGAGGAAGTTGGTTCCCTGATACATTATACTATCTTGAATTATGTTAATAGGTCAGAAAATATTTCGAATTAATAATTCATACCTGCAACACAGGCCTTCGTTGAAACGTTTTTTTGTTTTTTGTTTTTTTACTCTAGGTTTCTGATTTGAATTGTTGGAATGGAAGAGGTATTAAATAACATCGAAAACACCACAGATATAGAAAACTTTCCTATTGCAGGGGCAGATGTCGTAGAATGGAAACCAAGAATAGGTATGAAGTTTGAAATTGAGGAAGAGGCATATGATTTCTATAATTCATATGCCGGTTGAGTCGGTTTTAGCATCCGCAAAGAGTATTTTAACAAATGCAAGAAGACTAGTAAACTGTCATCGAGATTGTTAACATGCTGCAAGGAGGGTTTCAGGGCTGATGACATTAGGGACAGTAATATAAAGACTCCCAGGGCCGAAACATGAACTGGTTGCCTTGCTCGAATGCTTATTCAAGTTTCCAAGTATACGCATAAGTTTGAAGTTACAAAATTTGTTGAAAGGCACAACCATCCATTGATGATTGATGAATGCATGCACATGCTGCCATTGCAATGTAAAATTAGCCGTGTTCAGGCCATTGATTTAGAATTGGCTTTTGATTCAGGAATAAGCCCTCACAATTCATATGAGTTAATGGGAAGGCAAGCTGGTGGAAAAGAATCAGTCGGGCACATGAAGTTGGATTTGCTAAGCCATATAAGGACCCGAAGACAAACTGAGCTCGAATATGGAGAGGCAGCATAGCTAATGAATTATTTTGAGACTCAGTCTTGTGAAGATCCATCTTTCTTTTATGCATTCTAATTGGATAGTGATCAAATGATTACTAACATATTCTGGGCTGATTCAAAAATGATAGTTGATTATTGCAATTTTGGAGATGTTGTAAGTTTTGACACAACATACAAAGTTGTACATGGCAACCGTCCATTTGGAAGTTTCTTGGGGTTGAATCATCACCGGGAGAGCACTGTGTTTTGAGCAGCGTTCATGTATGATGAGACTGCATAGTCGTTTGTCTGGTTGTTTGAAACATTTTTGAAAGCAATGTCCGGTAAAACGCCAAAGACGATCTTCACTGATCAAGATGCTGCAATGGGAAAGGCATTGACGCAGGTGATTTCAATTCAGATCTTCACTCTTTGCATTTCCATTTGCATTATTATATAGTTATATTACAGAAAATAATTATGCAGGTGATGCCAGGGATAAAACATTATTTGTGTGTTTGACACCTAATGCAAAATGCACAGAAGCATCTGGGGTTCTTGTTTAGACGTATGCAAGGCTTTAAGAAGGTGTTATCAAAATTAATGTTTCAAATTGAGGAGGAGGAAGAATTTACCAGGGAATGGAATTTAATGATAACGGAATATGGTGTTGTTGGTAACACGTGGCTTACAAATCTGTTAGGTTTAAAACATAGATGGGCCATGGCATTTATTAAACATGCCTAGTCCGTGGGTATCTACAGCACACAACTGAGTGAAAGCTTCAATGGTTGCTTGAAGGCATACTTATCTAGGCAATTAATTCTTCCAGATTTCTTCACACACTTTGAAAGGTTGTTGTCTGACAAGCGTTACAAGGAGTATATAGCCGAGTATAGGTTGCTCCACAATCTACCTCAACTGAAAACAAACTGTAACATATTAGTAGAGGCGGCAAACCTGTACACA